TTGTTGTCATTAACAGATAGTTGTTTGATTGTCATTAGCATATCATTATTGATTGCCATTAATCATCTTTAATATATAGTTGTTGATTGTCATAAACATACAGATGTTGATTGGTATTAATAGATAGATGTTGATTGGCATTGATAGATAGATGTGCTGTTGATTTTACCCTTGATTTAAAATCCTAAACCAAGTCCAATAGATCATGCTGCATCAATAGATCGCTCGATAGATGTTGATTGGTATTTTTAGATAGATGTTGATTGGCATTGATAGATAGTTTAATAGATGTCTTTGTCAAGCATCATTTTTTTTTACTTCGCATAAGTTTTACGTATTATCATTCTGTTTATGTAACTTTAAAAAAAAATAATAATGAATGAAAAAAAATAAAAAATACCTTCGTAATCATCATTATGTTCATATATTTCAATTTCTACAGTAAAATGAATAGCATAAATATTTTTATTGGATTAAATACTTTTCACTTGAAGCATAAACATAAATAAAATCAATAGCTAGTATCAGTGTGAAGATTATTTAACGTTTGCAATAATGCTATTAGCCCTCTTAAATGTACTAATCTCAATAACATATCAACATGAAAATAACAAGAACATTAAAATATTTATATGGGCCTGATGACTGAGTGACTAGCGTTCTGTCAATCGGTACCACAAGTTTCGGGTTCGAGTTCCAGCTGTGTCTTAAATGTTTGTAGTGTTTGTTCGGAATCCACTTTAAACTGTAGGTCCCGGTCTAATATGACTACTGCGCGTTGGGCATAGGGCTCAGTGAAAATGTTAAATACTATAATTGTTTAATTTTATATTATAATAGTATAATTAATAAAATCCATTTAATAATATGTACAATATATTGCTTTTAGGGTTTCCGTAATGAATTGATGTTATTCGGCTCCTGAATATTACCTTTTTTAAGTTTAAAAGTCTAATAACCATTTATTATTCTTTCTTTATAGAAAGAAACAGCCCAGATAAAACAAAATGTTCAACATTTTCGAAGATTCCGCTTTTAATTTCCGCTTCCACTTCCGGTTTTCCACTGTTCGGGATTACCCCTCAACAATGATCATTTTGTTCTTTCCGGAACAAATAGGCCTCTGTTTCCCAATTCGGCAATACTTCATTAGTTTTAAATCAATTTCGAAATGAACCACATGACAACACATTCTTTTTAAATGTAAATGCAATTTCAAAACCCCGTCTTCTTTCAAAAAGACCATCCGATCATCAAACCTAATTAAATAAATCAAAAGTATTTACTCCTCCGTGTTTTTCCTTCCGACCGTTCCAATTCCTATTTCTGGAAATTGTTGCATCCCTCTACAGTTCCAGAAAAATGTTTCCCATCCCCTTATTGGACGGCGGCCAAAATCCGGGATTTCGATTCCTGATTTAATGGTGGCCCGGAGCAGACTTATCCGATTTTCCGGTTAAACTTTATCAGAAATTACAGATATCGCGTCTCTTCTAAGTGGAGCGTTTCGATCAATTTTCTAACAACACTAAACAGGATGGAAAAGGATAATGGAATCTGGGAAGGACGTTATAAATGATGGTTCTGATCGGAGAATTTAACGGATTCATCATTACCGTTGTTTTCCCTCTCTGAGAAGGCATTGTTACGATATAGATTTTTCATGAAGAAGAAAATGGACATTCGTTACAAATTGATTGCTGTTTAATAAAAGAACTTCAGGGGCATGTTTGGGTGGGGTATGTAGTCCTGGTTTGGCTAGCAGGTTGGTTGGATGGTTCTGAAAAAAGGATTAAAAATTGATGGTCCAATACATAGCCATATTTTTTATAATTATTTATTTATCTCTAAACTAAGATGGGAATATTGTATTCCTTATATGCATAATGAAGCACAGTGAAAAAAAAGATGAAGTCTAATTTGCTTTTCATTAATAGATGTTAATTGTCATTAATAGATAGATGATAAACAACCGAAATAAATAAATCAAAAATATTTTCTCTTCTGTGCTTTTCCTTTCACCATATTATACGTGATATGATACATTAAACATGGAATTTATATAAATATTTTCATTAAACTATTATGTACGCTAATGTCTCTCAAGCTCTGTCATAATAATAGTAAAGTAATGAAGTTTGAATCCGAATAATATGTGTTGTCGTCAAATAACTGTATCAATACACTGTACATATAACTCGATGTATTCTATTTATGATACAATGTATTAGGCATGGTATTTACATATATATTTCCATTAAACTATTATTTACACTAAATGTCAAGTTATGCTGTAATAATAGTATGGTAATGAAGTCTGAATCCAAGTAAAATGCTTGTTATCCATTATTTACATCAGTATATAATACATGAAATTCGAAATATTATATTGGTATGATACGTTAAATAAGGAATTTATATAAATATTTCCCTAAAAGTATTAAAATTTTAAAATTTTCCTAAAACTATATTCAGTGCAATTATTAAATACGTTAAATAAATTATTTAAAAATACATATGTAAAAACCTAAAATACAGATATAATATATTATTGGTGGTGTTCGCCTTCTGCCTATATCTTTTTTTAGATTTAAAATTCTAAGAACCCTTTTTTAGTCTTCGTTATGGAAAGAAACAGCCGAGTTAAAACTAAATGTTCAACAATTTTGAAGATTCCGCTTTTAATTTCCCCTTCCACTTCCGGTTTTCCACTATTCAGGATTCCCTCTTCAACAATGATCCTTTTGTTCTTTCCGGAACAAATAGGCCTCTGGTTCCCAATTCGGAATACTTCATTAGTTTTAAAGCAATTTCGAATGAACCACTTAACAACACACTCTCTTGCACGCATTCTTTTTAAATGTAAATGCAATTTCAAAAGCCCTTCTTCTTTCAAAATTACCATCCGAACATCCAACATAATTAAATAAATCAAGAGTATTTTCCTCTTCTGTGTTTTTCCTTTCGTCCGTTCCAATTCCTATTTCTGGAAACGGTTGCATCCACAGTTCCAGGAAAATGTTTCCCATCCTCTTATTGGACGGCGGCCAAAATCCGGGATTTCGATTCCTGATTTAATGGTGGCCTGGAGCAGACTATCCGATTTTCCGGTTAAAGTTTATCAGAAATTACAGATATCGCGTCTCTTCTAAGTGGAGCGTTTCGATCAATTTTCGGAACAACACTAAACAGGATGGAAAAGGATAATGGAATCTGGGAAGAACGTTATAAATGATGGTTCTGATCGGAGAATTTAACGGATTCATCATTACTGTTGTTTTTTCTCAGATAGAGAGGGATTGTTACGATATGAAGAAGAAAATGGACATTCGTTACAAATCGATTGCTGTTTAATAAAAAGAACTTCAGGTGCATATGAGGGGGGGGGGGGGAGTAATCCTGTTTTGGCTGACTTGCTCGTTGGTTGGTTGCTTCTGATAAAATATATTAAAAATAGATGTTCGTGAACATGGGCATATTTTTCATAATTATTTATCTATCTACAAAAATATTTATAAACTGAGACAGAAATATTTTATTCATTATATGCATGATGAAATAGATTGAAAAGAATATGAAGATATTGTTGTCATTAATAGATAATTGTTGATTGTCATTAATTAATTGTCATTTACAGATAGATGTTAATTGTCAGTAATAGATAGATGTTGATGGGGCCTGACGGCCGTGTGGGTAGCGCTGTGGAGCTCTTTACCATAAGTTTCGGGTTCGCGTTCTGGCTGTACTATTGATGTTTGTAGTGGTTTGAAATCCATTGTGAGCCATAGGTACGTGTCTGACACGAGCGTTGTGGGGCTAATGTTACTCGCGTCCATAGCGTATCTTCAAGCTGCCCTCTGTGTAGTGCTAAATGAGTAACAGCTGGGGAGAACTTCCTTATGGCATAAAGATTAACTGTATGTTTTGTCAGTTGCATTAAAACAACAACATATAGTTGTTGATTGTTATAAATAAAACATATATACAAAATATTATATGTATGATAGGATACATTAATCAGGGCATTGACATAAATATTTCCATTAAACTATTATTCACACGAATGTCTTTCAAATTCTGTCGTAATACTAGTAAAGATACTATACATTAATTGAAATGTTTGAACTATTATTTACACTTACCAGTATGTCTTTCAAATTCTGTTTGCTAAAAGTAAAGTAGTAAGTTCTGAATATGTGTAAGCTATTTGTTGTCAAATATCTAAATTAATATGTAATATATACTACCTACATGCGAAATATTCTATGTAAGATACGATACATTAAATATCGAATTTGCGTATATATTTCCATTAAATTACTTAAAGTTTTAACATTTTATTACATCAATCGTACTTTAAGTAAACTATTTAATAATACATATGTAAAACTCTAAAAGATAGATGTAACAACGGCCAATAACATCAAAATAATATATTTCCTTTTTTATGTTTAAAATCTAAGAATCCTTTCTTATTTTTCTTTATAGGAAGAAATAGCCCGGTTAAAACTAAATGTTCAACACTTTTGAAGATTCCTTTTTTAATTTCAACCTTCCACTTCCGGTTTTCCACTATTCAGGATTGAACCTCAACAATGATCCTTTTGTTCTTTCCGGAACAAATAGTCCTCTGGTTCCCAATTCGGAATACTTCATTAGTTTTAAAGCAATTTCGAAATGAACCACTTGACAACACACTGTCTTGCACACATTCTTTTTAAATGTAAATGCAATTTCAAAAGCCCTTCTTCTTTCAAAAAGACCAGCCGAACATCCAACCTAATTAAATAAATCAAAAGTATTTTCTCTTCTGTGTTTTTCCTGTTGCCATATTCTATTGATGATACGATACAATAATCATGGAATTTATATAAATATTTCCATTAAACTATTATTTACACTTATGATTTTCAAATTATTGTAATAACAGCAGAGTAGTGAAGTTTGAATACGAGTAAAATATTTGTTGTGAAATATCTAAACCATATGTGATATATGCCAACGGCCGTACCATGCTGAATATACCGGTTCTCGTTAGATCACCGAAGTTAAGCATCATTGGGCGCGGTCAGTTTTTAAATTGGGTGATACCTGGAATTACTGCGTGCCGTTTTAAACTCTGGGAATGAATAAAAGTGTCTAGCGCTCTGGCGCTCGGTGTCACAGGTTTCGGGTTCGAATCCCGGCGGTGCCATGGATGTTTGTAGTGGTTCGGAATCCACTTTTAAGCCGTAGGTCCCGGTCTTCTATGACTATAAGAGCGTCACGGAGCAAAAAGTCAAATTTACCTACGGGGTGCTCCATCACAACAGAAGCTGCTTCCTTCCCCTTCAATCATGAGTCCATATGGGCTCGTGGGCTTGGCCAGCCAAGTGGGATAAGAAACAACAACAAATATGTGATATATGAATATCTTCACTAGACTCTTAATTGTACTTATGTCTTTCAAGTATATTGTAATAATAGTAAATAAAGTAGTGAAGTCTGATTTCGATTAAAATGTCTGTTATCAAATATCTACATCAATACGAGATACATAAAATCTACATACCGAATGTACAAAATATTATATGTATGTATGATACGATACATTAAACATGGGAATTATATAAATATTTTCATTAAACTATTATTTACACTTATGTTTCGCAATTTCTGTAATATTAATAGTAAAGTAATGAAGTCTGAATCCGAGTAAAATGTTTGGTGTCAAATATCTACATCAATATTAGGTATATAAAACGTCAAATATTCTATGAATGATACGATACATTAAACAGGGAATTTATATAAGTTTAAGTAACAGTTTAATGGAAATATTTGTCTTTAAAGTTCTGTTGTAATACTAGTAATGAAATGAAGTCTGAATTCGAGTAAAATGTTTGATGTAAGTATCTATACCAAAATGTAATAAATAAAATTGGCATACGAAACATAAGAAATATACTATGTATGACACGATACATTAAATATGGAATTTACATAAATATTGCCATTAAATTATTTAAATTTTTAAAATTTTATTTGATCAATCAATCATCAATGCAATTGTTAAATACTTTTATGTAAACTATATAATAATACGTATGTAAAACCCTAAAAGCAACATAAAATATATTGATGTTGTTCGCCTATGTTACATTTATGCTTATTTCCTTTTTTTTTAGGGTTGAAAATTTAAGAATTCTTTCTTTATAGAAAGAAACAGCCGAGTTAAAACAAAATGTTCAACACTTTTGAAGATTCCGCTTCTAATTTCCTTTTCCACTTCCGGTTTTCCACTATTCAGGATTACCCCTCAACAATGATCCTTTTGTTCTTTCCGGAACAAATTGTCCTCTGGTTCCCAATTTGGGAGTACTTCATTAGTTTTAAAGCAATTTCGAAATGAACCACTTGACAACACACTCTTTGCACACATTCTTTTTAAATGTAAATGCGATTTCAAAAGCCCTTCTACTTTCAAAAAGACCATCCGAACATCCAACCTAATTAAATAAATCAAAAGTATTTTCCTCTTCTGCGTTTTTCCTCTCGCCCGTTCCAATTCCTATTTCTGGAAAGGGTTGCATCCACAGTTCCAGGAAAAATTTTCCCCATCCCCTTATTGGACGGCGGCCAAGATCCGGGATTTCGATTCCTGATTTAATGGTGGCCCGGAGCAGACTTATCCGATTTTCCGGTTAAAATTTATCAGAAATTACAGATATCGCGTCTCTTCTAAGTGGAGCGTTTCGATCAATTTTCGGAACAACACTAAACAGGATGGCGAAGGATAATGGAATCTGGGAAGGACGTTATAAATGATGGTTCTGATCGGAGAATTTAACGGATTCATCATTACTGTTGTTTTGCCTCTCAGAGCGAGATTGTTACTATATAGATTTTTCATGAAGTAGAAAATGGACATTCTTTACAAATTGATTGCTGTTTAATAAAGAACTTCAGGTAGTCTTGTTTTGGATGGTTGGTTAAATGGTTCTGATAAAAATATTAAAAAAAATGGTCTTGCACTGGCTATACGGCTGGTTTGTTGGTTGCTTCTGATAAAATATATTAAAAATTGATGGTCATGCAGGAATTGATTGATTTTATTTTGTAGATAAATAATTAGACTTGAAAAATTGATGGAATTATTTTTCAAGTCTAATTATTTATCTACAAAAATATTTAGAAACTGAGACAAAGATATTGTTTTAAAATTTTGATAAACCAATCATCCGCTATTAAATACTATGATTGTATTATTGGTATACTTTATTCATAGTATTAAAATTTAAAGATTGAAAATTAACTATTTAAAATATTTAATAATATATACGTAAAACCCTAAAAACAAGATATTGATGTGATTTTTCTTTTATCTATTTAGATTTTTAAGCTTAATATATAAGAACCCTTTCTTATTCTTTTTTATAGAAAGAAAAACTCAGTTAAAACTAAATGTTCAACACTTTTGAAGATTCCGCTTTTAATTTCAACTTCCACTTCCGGTTTTACACTCTTTGGGATTTCCCCTCAACAATGATCCTTTTGTTCTTTCCGGAACAAATAGGCCTCTGGTTCCCCATTTGGAATACTTTATTAGTTTTAAAGCAATTTCGAAATGAACCACTTGACAACACACTCTCCTGTACACATTTTTTTTCAATGTAAATGCAATTTCAAAAGCCCTTCTTCTTTCAAAAAGACCATCCGAACATCCAACCTAATTAAATAAATCAAAAGTATTTTCCTCTTCTGTGTGTTTCCTTTCGCCCATTCCTATTCCTATTTCTGGAAACGGTTGCATCCACAGTTCCAGGAAAATTTTTCCCCATCCCTTTATTGGACGGCGGCCAAAATCCGGGATTTCGATTCCCGATTTAATGGTGGCCCGGAGCACACTTATCCGATTTTCCGGTTAAAGTTTATCAGAAATTACAGATATCGCGTCTCTTCTAAGTGGAGCGTTTCGATCAATTTTCGAACAAACACTAAACAGGACGGAAAAGGATAATGGAATCTGGGAAGGACGTTATAAATGATGGTTCTGATCGGGGAATTTAACGGATTCATCATTACCGTTGTTTTCTCTCAGGGAAGGGATTGTTACGATATAGATTTTTCATGAAGAAGAAAATGGACATTCGTTACAAATTGATTGCTGTTTAATAAAATAACTTCAGGTGCATGTGTGGGCGTGTAGTCCTGTTTTGGCCGTCCTGATAAAAGTATTAAAAATAGATGGTCATGCACTGGCTAGCTGATTTATTGGGTTGCTTCTGATAAAATATATAAAAAAATGATGGTCGTGTACATGGGAATATTTTCCATATTTAATTATTTATCTACAAAAATTTTATTAATAAAACCGAGGTAGAGATATTATGTTCCTTATGTGGATAATGAATTAGATTGAAAAGAAGATGGAGATATCTAATATTGTTGTACCAATCGATAGATGTTGTTTTTCATTAAAATATAAATGTTGATTGTCTACAATAGATGTTGATTGACATTGATATTTGATTAGCATTGATAGATAGATGTTGATTGTCGTTTATGGATGTTGACTGACATTGATAGTTGATTAGCATTGATAGATAGATGTTGATTGAAATTAATAGTTGATTGTCATTGATAGATATATGTTGATTGTCATTAATAGTTGACTGTCATTGTTAGATAGATGTTGATTGTCCTTAATAGTTGATTTTCATTGATAGATAGATGTTTATTGGCATTGATAAATGTTTATTGGCATTGATAAATGTTTATTGGCATTGATAAATGTTTATTGGCATTGATAGATAGTTGTTGATTGGCATTGATAGATAGTTGTTGATTGGCATTGATTGATAGCTGTCGATTGGCATTGATAAATAGCTGTTGATTGGCATTGTCAAATATCAGTTTTTTACCATGTATAGTTTTACGTATTATCATTCTGAATGAATAAGCTTTTGAATGAAACGCGCAAAAAAAAAAAAAAAAAGGTTTACCTTTGTGAATATCAGATGTTATTATTTTGCAATAAAATTAATAGAATGGATATTTTTTATTGGGTTAAATACTTTTCAACCGAAGCGTGAACATAAAAAGTAATAAATAAATAGCTGTAGTTTTGGTTAGGTTGGCTGGTTAGAGGGTTCTGATAAAAATATTAAAAATAGATGGTCGTGAGCATAGGCATATTTTTCTTAATTAATTGTTTATCTACAAAAATAATTTGAAACTAAGATAGAGATATAGTATTTCGTATATGCATAATGAAATAGATTGAAAATAATATGTAAATATCAAATATTGTTGTCATTAATAAATAGATGTTCATTGTCATTAATTAATGGCCATTAATATATAGATGTTGATTACCGTTAGTTAATTGTTATTAATAGATAGTTTAATAGATGCCATTGAATATTCAACAGTGAAACCAAATACGTACATTTTATTTGTCCTTTTTAAAGTTTCAAGTCCAAAATCTATTACACGAAACCCCCTTTCATTCTATCATGCTGAGTATTTTTTTTTTATTTCCCATTATATTGCGCATATAAATTGAATCTCCAATGTATTAGGTGTTTCTTGGTTTAATAATATCCTTTTCGGTTCAAAATTATTATGATTTTCAACAATGATGATTTTGTTATCAACGGAATAAATATGTCTTTCGATCTGATTCCAGAATTGATGATTTTGCTATAATCGGAACATATATATTGTTCGACTTTATTCCAGAATTGATGGAATTGTTATAAGAATAAATGTATCATTCGATTTGATTCCAGAAAGCTTCATTAATTTAAATTTATTTCGAATTGAACCACTTAACAACACATTCTCGCACTCTTTTTTAAATGTAAACCTTATCTGGAAAATGTTGTTTCAAAAACATCATCGAACAGGTAATCGAATTAAATGCATCGAATAGATTTTCCAAGGTATTTTTATGATTCCAAATCCTATTTCTGGAAGGGTTGCATTTTTCTGCAATTAGAGAACTGTTCAAATTCATGTTGGACTTTGGCCGAAGTCCGGAATTCTATTCCCGATTTAATGATATCGCAGAGCAGACTATCCGATTTTCCGGTTAAAGTTTATCACAAATTAGAGAAATTGCTTCTAA